AAATACACACATTCCTGTTCCCTCTGGAGGATGCTAAGAAACCAACTCATTATTTTGAAAATGAAAAAGTGGAGAAATTCAAGTATTTGTTTTTCCTATGTGATTACTAATTAAGAAAAAACTAAAAACTGCAGTTTGAGCAACCTCTTGGATCGTGCTTTTATGATTTATTAGGGAGGTCTGGAGCAGAAATAAGTCTATGGCTAATTAATCTCCACTACTGAAGTAAGAATCTCCTGAATACTCTACCTAATGTCCTGTGAAAGATGAGTTTTTCCAGTCTGGCTAGAGAAACAGGGACTCTTCTCAGCACTGTGCGAGGGCCAGGCACTGTTCCCTCTAATCTTTGTGGATGATAGTTTCTCTAGCCTTGAGCAGTCTCCCCAAGCACATATGATGGTCAGTACTCTGCTGAATATGCAAAGAAACACTCTGAAAATCTCCAGGCTCCTTTCTCTATACACATGTCTCTCCCTTTTGGTATTCCCTCCTATGAATGGATGACCTGATCTCCTCCGACTCTCAGCTCTGTCTCCTCAACTCAGGAAGGCCGTGCATGGTCTTTAGTTCCCTTCCCCTGTGTTGCAACTTGGAAACTCTCTTGGGCAATAAGCTGAAGCAACCACAGGGCTCGTCTCATTGGTTTCCTATCTCTAGAGATCACTGTCCTGCACTGGTTAATGTCTGGTGTCTTGAACTACTGTTTCATGTATTTTGTCTGTTTATTCTTGGTTTGTTTCAGGTAGTAGGGTAAATCTGAGCCCTGCTATTCCCTTTGGCTGGAAGCAGAAGTCCTCAAAGTGCCCTTTCTAATACTCAAACTATCCCACTTAACAACTAATGGGAGCCTGTTCAAGCTATCTCCTGAGTCTTTTCAACACAAGTTTTGATGGTCTTAAAACTTCCTTGCTCTATGTTATGAAAAAATACTACACATTCACCTTGAATATTCCCTATCTCTAATCGAGATTCAGGTGTTTTTTCCAAGAAGCCTTGGTCCCTTGACAGGAAAATTCTCTAATGACCACAATCTCAGGGTGCTAGAGGTGCTCACTGATACAAGGTATTTCGCTATTTCTACGCCTTTCTAGGACAGAACTGGGTTTTGTGTGTGTATGTGTGTTTTAAGAAAATACATCATGAATCCCTACTGATACTACCTATTCAAATTTATATAACTTCTTTGATTTTATATTTCTATTCTTTCTTAATCTAAAAAAATCCAGGTCCCTAATATTAACATAGCTATTTGCTATATCCATATACAAATACACATGGTTTCAGGGCCAATCCTATATGATTACGAAAGCAGTTGAAGATTTGTTTATACTTCTTTTTGTCCTTAAAATACAGCCCAATAGAGAAAATTAATCATTTTGCCATATTCGTGTATTAAAGTATTTCCTCTCTGTGTGGTTTAGCCACAAGCATGACACACAGGGCCATTTAATTCCTCTTGTTTAATCCTTCATTATGATTTCTTTTTGTTTCACAATTATTTAAAGCATTCACATGACTCCAAAATCACACCTAATAAGTAAATTTACATCCACAAGTAGTGGTCTTTTAATATGGAATGGCAGATACTGTTATGATCTTTAATACAATTGCTGACCAACAAGTAGAATTTGAAATTGAAAATACCATACCATTTACATTACAAGGATGATGACAAGATAAGACATGAGAAATTCCAAGCAGAGGGAAGTCCTAAAACTACAGCTATACAGCTAGAACACAGGATAAACAATTCTGACTGGCGCAAAAGGACAAAAAATATAGGGTGAAGGTCTCCAGCAGAAAAAATATGGAACTGAAAATTATCTGAGAAGTTTAACCACACAGAAAATCAGATAAAAATAATTTAAAAGAGCTGTAGAAGAGAATGAAAAGACAGCCAGGAATATGAAGCTAAACAGGTACAAAATCAGACAATTAACTACAGGAAAAACAAAGTATAAAGAAAGGAAATGTAATCACGGTATACTATTCAGTTCAGCAATAAATAATACTTACGTACTGTAGTATAACTATACTGAGAATACATGCAAGGGAAAAGCAGTATAAGAGCTTAAATCTTCACCTACCATAACAGAACACCAATAGGTAATATTTTAAATTGACAAATAGTCAAGAGGATTGAAAGTGGTTTACTTGGGAATGAAACCAGGAACATTGGTGGTTTGGTTTCAAGTACTGTAGTACTACTTAACTTTTTCAACTGTGCATGTCTTACTCAGAGAAAAATAGGTTTTAAAAAAGAAAAAACTGGGTGGCTCAGCCGGTTAAACGGCTGCCTTCGGCTCGGGTCATAATCTCGGGATCCTGGGATCGAGCCCCATGTCTGGCTCCCTGCTCAGCAGGGAGTCTGCTTCTCCCTCTCCCTCTGCTTGTGCTCTCTCTAATAAATACATCTTTTTTTTTTTTTTTTAAGATTTTGTTTATTTGAGACAGAATGAGAGAGAGAGAGAGAGCTCACGAGAGGGGGGAGGGTCAGAGGGAGAAGCAGACTCCCCGCTGAGCAGGGAGCCCGATGCGGGACTCAATCCCGGGACTCCAGGATCATGACCTGAGCTGAAGGCAGTCGCTTAACCAACTGAGCCACCCAGGCGCCCCTCTAATAAATACATCTTTAAAACAACAAGAAAAAAGAAAAAAGAAAAAACTGCCAAAACAATCATGATCTCTACACCTTAACTACAGATTACATGTTGACTGAACTTGTCAACCAAGTTAATCAACGGGAAAAGTTGCCTGTCCACAAGTTTATCAACTCGCTCACTTCACAAGATATTTCTTATAACTAAAAACATCAAGCAAACCTCCATTCTTCATCATGATGGGTTTTATGAACTTTTCAACAGCACTAGGTTACCTATTCACTCTGAATTAACAAGAGTCTGCTTAATTCAAATTTTCAAGTACTGGCTCAATCAGAATGACACCAACTGGTAAAATTTTTTGCCAAAAATAAATTTTAGGTTGGTCTATAAGTGCCAAATGGATAGAGGTCATTTATAAAGTGCTGCCTAGATATAACAAAAATTAAATGTTAGTCTGATAAAAGGATAGCCTAGCCCTCAAAGATGCAGTTAGTTATCTTTTGTGCACTTGGCAACATCAACTCCTGTGGTACCCTCACATCTAGCTCTTCAGCTGGCGTAAGCCTGTGACTGTGGAAAGATAAATAGTACCTAAATGAATCTATATTTTACTAATATTTACTATTTTACAAATTAGGCATGAAATATATACTGTTATATTAAGAAGCCTGACTGGTTTTACCAGGTCTCTCTACATAATACAGCACATATGACATAAAAAAATTAAGATTTTAAATAGAGCAATATTCCAAAAACTTATCACAGAAACTTACTAAAGCCATAGCACAATTTTAGATCTCATACAATGAACATGACAGAATTTCAACTACAAATATTTTTAGTCCAATATATGGGGCCATACTTGCCAGTTGATATATTAAGGATAAGAGCATTTGTCTTCAGGCAGGTAAGTAAATACGAAAAATTTATTTTATTTATATAAACTTTACAATGAAGTCTAATTACATGACATCACCCATCACCAAGAAGAGAATAAAATGAACACTGTTAATGACAGAGGATCATTATTACATCTTCAAATGGTTTTATGCCAAATATGATGCATAAGCTGGCGGTTATATTCAGACCTATACTTGGGCTCATGTGTATATATCCATGTATTCACCTTCACATATGTGAATATAAATATGTAACAATGTTATTATGATTTCTGGAATTTACCTCCAAAATAGAAGCTAATACAAAAGTTCATTCAAAAAAAAGGTTCCACTTCAAATAAGACAGATGAATAAAGAGGTAACAAGAAACCCAGAGAAACTCATCCTTTTATGAATAAGTGATAACTCCTAATTTACTGCACTTAATATAAACTCTATTATAATATTACAAACTCTCTTTGCCTAAAAAATAATAGTAATGACAGTGTTTGATTCAAACATCTACAGCCCTAACAAAAAAAACACTGAGGTTGTAATGTACTCTTGGACTTTAACTAACTGGATTTTCCAGTGCAGTGTTACTCAAAAGAACAGTGTATTTTGAGACCAGCTCACTATAACTGCAAAATATTTATGACAGATTACCTTATTTCTCAGGTATGAAAGATTCTGACTCATTTGCCTTTTATGGAGCTTTTGTAGCATGGGGATCAAATGGTCCTTCCAAGCTCAAAAGTCTCTCCTTAGCAAAAAAAAAAAAAAAAAAAAAAAAGTCACCTAAGTGTCTTTAAATTTCTTTGCCATAAGGGATATACCATTCATTCTAGGCATTTTTAGAGGAAGGTAAAGTGAGAGTTAGTCCCAAATACTCCTGTGGATGTTTAGACGTTCTCAGGTTAAAAATGACCAAAAGTAAAAAAAAAAAAAGATCAAAAATCAATGTCCTAATGAATCATACATAATTAATTTAGGGGTGAAAAGACATATTCCTTGAGATTTTTGCTTTAAAATACTACATAATAAAGAAATGTAAAGATAGACATGAAGCAAGTACGGCAAATTATTGACAATTACTGAATGCAAAGGATGAGTTTATGAGGTTCACCATCTATAATTTTGTATGTTTACAAATTTTCATATTAAAGTTTATAATGAAAAACAGCATTTTACTGGTCACTTGAGAATACATTAACAAACATGCACATAAAATCTTAAACAAGTTGCAACTTTAAAAAAAGAAAATACACTAAACAGGCCAAAAGATTAAACAGTGGTTGTATTGGAAATATGAGAACCTGAGAGATTTATTTATTCTTGTATTCTGCTTTTCATCACCTCCTCTTCCCTACTCCCAAAACACGCTGATTTTATGATGGCGGAGATGTATATTTACACACATACACATATCTAACACAATCAAAATTAAAATAAAGTAGTTTCAGGCTTAAAATGGAAAATTAAGTTCTTTTAAATAAATTAATAAGGGTAAAGGATTTACCTGCTCTTCTCTTTTCTGCTTACGTAACTGCAGTCCCTCTTCCTCCCTCCTCCTGCGCATTTCATCAGGATTCAGGGACTTATTTTTGTAACTTTTCAGGCGAAAGTTCTCTTTTCCTGGGGTAGTCATGATTTCTACAAAAATGAGACAAAGAGAACAAATGAGCTTGGCTTATGGTAAAGAGCTCTTGTTATTCTAATAGCCCAGCCTCACTGCATAAGGACACCAGAAATGGTTACTTTTAACAGCTTTATTAAAGTGTACAAGTCAATAGCTTTCACATTTTCACATCTATGCACAACCATTACCACAGTCCATTTTTAAACATTTTTATCACCTCAAAAAGAAAGTGTGTACTATCACTCCTACTGGCTATCACTCCTATTCAGGATATTTCATACGAATAAAATCATATGCGTGATCTTTTGTGCCTGGATTCTTTCATTTAGTATATCTTCAAAGTTCATCTATGTTGCAACATGTATCAGTACTTTATTCTTTTATGGCTGAATAATATCCCATCATATGGATATACCCCATTATATTTTATACCTACTCATCAACTGATAGACATTTGGGTTCTTTCCACTTTTTGGCTATTATGAATAATGCTTCCATAAACATCTATGGACAAGTTTTTATGTAGACATAGGTTTTCATTTTTTGGGGGCATACACCTAGGAATCGAACTGCTAGGTAACATTGTAACTCAATGATTGTTTGAGGAACTGCCAAACTATTTTTCCAAAGTGCTGCACTATTTTACATTCCCACCAGCAGTGTACAAGGGCTGACGATTTCTCCACTATCACAATTTTTGGTGTCTGCTGTCCTTTCACATATTTATTTTCTAACTGTATATCCTCCATAAAAAAAAAAAAAAGTCTATTCACAATCTTTACCCATTTTTAAATTGTCTCTAGGAAGTCCCAATAGTTCATTTTTGCCCTTGCTTCTTCCCTTGCCTTTGGCGATGTTTCTAGGAAGAAGTTGCTGCGGCTGAGGTCGAAGAGGTTGCTGCCTGTGTTCTCCTCTAGGATTTTGATGGATTCCTGTCTCACATTTAGGTCTTTCATCCATTTTGAGTCTATTTTTGTGTGTGGTGTAAGGAAATGGTCCAGTTTCATTCTTCTGCATGTGGCTGTCCAATTTTCCCAACACTATTTGTTTAAATTGTCTTTTTTTATCATTAAGTTATAAGAATTCTTCATATATTCTAGATAGAAGTCCCTTATCAGAGTGGTGCTTGAGAGGCTCAGTTGGTTGAGCATCTAACTCTTGGTTTCAGGTCAGCTCGTTACCTCAGGGTCACGTAATCAAGCCCTGCATCAGGCTCCCTGCTCAGTGCAGAGTCTGCTTCCCTTTTCCCTCCAGCATGCTCTCTCTCAAAAAAAAATGGACCTCTTAAAAAAAAAGTCCCTTATCAGATATACAGTTTTTAAATATTTTCTTTCACTCTATAGGTTTTCTTTACGCTTTCTTAATGGTGTCCTTTGAAGCACAAAAGTTTTTAATTTTGATGAAGTCCAAATTAATCTTTTTGTTGTTGTTGCTCATGCTTTTAGTGTCATACTTAGGGATTCTTAATCCTAAATTTCCTTCTAAGAGTTTTAAAGTTTTAGCTCTTACATTTAGGTCTGTCATCTACTTTGAGTTAATTATTATTCATGGTATGAGGTAAGGGTACAACTACATTATTTCACATATGGCTACCCATTTGTTCCAGGCACCATTTCTCCATCTAATGGTCCTGACACCCTTGTTGAAAGACAAATTAACCACATCTATATGGCTTTATTTCTCAACTCAATTATATTCCATTGATTTGTATGTATATCCTTGTGCTGATTCCACACAATCTTGACTACCATTTTTGTAGTAAGTTTTGAAATCAGGAAGTATAAGTTCTCCTATCTTATTCTTTTTCAAGATTGTTTTGGCTCTTCCAGACACCCTGCAATTCCATATGATTTTTAGGATTAGTTTGTCAATTTCTACAAAGAAGTCAGCTGGGATTCTGATATGGACTACACTGAATCTGTAGGTTAATGTGGGGAGTATTGCCATCTTAATGTTCAATCTTCCAATCCACAGACAGGATATTTTTCTCTTAGATCTTCTCTAGTTTCTTTCAACAATATTTTGTAGTTTCCAGTGTTTTACACTTCTTTTGTTAAATTTATTCCTGTCTTAATTTTTTTGATGCTATTATAAATGGAATATTTTTCGGGCGCCTGGGTGGCTCAGATGGTTAAACGTCTGCCTTCGGCTCAGGTCATGATCCCAGGGTCCTGGGATCGAGTCCCGCATCGGGCTCCCTGCTAAGTGGGGAGCCTGCTTCTCCCTCTGCCTCTGCGTCTCTCTCTCTCTCTCTGACTCTCATGAATAAATAAATAAAATATGTTTTTTAAAAAATGGAATTTTTTTCTTAATCTCACTTTTGGATTGTTCACGACAAGTCTATAGAAACACAATTAATTTTTGTATACTGATTTTGTATTTTGCAACTTTGCTGAACTTGTTATTAGTACTAATATTTTTTTAGTGGATTTTCTAAGTCATTTCATACAAAATCATATCCTCTATGAGAGACAGTTTTGTTTCTTTCTTTCCAATCTTGAAGCCTTTGTGTATTTTTCTTTCTTTTCCTTATTTTTTTTTTCAAAACTGCCATAGCTAGAACCTCTAATATAATGTCAAATAGAAATGGAGAAAGCAGGCACTCTTGTCTTATTTCTGATTGTAGAGGAAAAGTGTTCAGTTTTCCCCATTAAGTATGATGTTATCTTTGAGTTTTTCATAGGTGTCTTTATTCATGTTGAGAAAGTTCCCTTCTAGACCTCGTTTTTTGAGTGTTTTTATCAGTTAAAGGGTGTTAGATTTTGTCAAATTTTTTTTGTGTCTATTCTGAGAACAATGTGACTTTTGTTTTTTATTTCCTGATATGTTATATTAATTGGTTAGTGAACTTCACACTAACTTTGCATTTCTGGGATATTATGCCACTTGATCGTGGTGTAAAATTCTTTTTATATGCTGGTGAATTAGGTTTGCTAGTATTTTGAGGATTTTTGTGTTCATCTTCATAAGAGATAGTGGTCTGTAGTTTTCTTGTGATGTCTTTGGTATCAGGGTAACACTAATACTAGCTTCATAAAATAAGTTGGGAAGTGTTCTCCCTCTCAATTTTTAGGAAGAGTTAGTATTAATTCTTCTTTAAGTGTTTGGTAGAATTTAGCAGTGAAGCCATATGGGCCTGTGCTTTTCTTTGTGGGTAGCTTCATGATTAATCCAATCTCTTCACTTGCTATAGGTCTATTCAGTTTGTCTATGTAAGTCAGCTTCAGCAGCCATCTTTCTAAAAAATTTTCCATTTTAGGGGTGCCTGGGTGACTCAGTCGGTTGGGCGTCCAACTCTTGGTTTCGGTTCAGGTCTCAAGATCTCAGTGTTGTGAGATCAAATCCTGTGATGGGGTCCACACTCAGCAGGGAGTCTGCTTGAGATTCTCTTTCTCTCCCTCTGTCCCTCCCTCCCCCTCATGCTCGCGCTCTTGAAAATAAATGAATAAATCTTTAAAAAAATTGTCCATTTTATCTAAGCTATGTTAATTCATTGGTATGCAGCTGTTCATAGTATTCCTTTATAATCCTTTCCATTTTTGTAATCCCAGTAGTAATGGTCCCTCTGTTATTTCTGATTCAAGTAATTTAAGTCCTCTTTTTTTCTATGTCAGTCTGCCAATTTTGCTTATCTTTTCAAAGAACCAGTTTTTGGTTTCCTTAATTTTCTCTACTTTTTTCCTATTTTCTAGTTCATTAATTTCTACTCTCAGCTTTATTATTTTCCTCCTTCTGCTTGTTTTAGGTTTACTTTGCTCTTCTTTTTCCAGTGACTTAAGGTGTAAGGTTAGTTAGTAATTTGAGACCTTTCTTCTTTCTTTATATAAGCATTTATTACTAAAAGTTTCCCTGTAAGCACTGCTTTAGCTGTATCCCATGTTTTCTTAAGTGGTAAATTCATTTTCATTTATCTCAAACTATTTTCTGATTTCTCTTTTCATTTCTTCTTTGACCTACTGGTTATTTGGGAGCATGTTAATTTCCATATATTTGTGAGTTCCCCAAATTTGTTAGTGATTTCTAATTTCTTTCCACTGTGGTCAGAGAACAACCTTTGTATTATTTCAATCCTTTTAAGATGTTTTGTGGCCTAGCATTTGGTTTATCCTTGAAAATGTCCCACATTCACTTGAGAAGAATATATATTCTATTGTTGCTGGGTGCTGGTGGTATTCTACAGATGTCTCCTAGCTCTAGTTGGTTTATACTGTGGTTTCTTTGTTGATCTTATGCCTAGTTGTTTTGTCCATTACTAAAAGTGGGATATCGTAGTCTCCCAACCATTATCGCTATATTGTCTACTTTTCTCTTCATTTCTGTCAGGTTTTGCTTCTTGTATTTTGGTGCTGTTATTAGGTACATATATATTTATAACCTTTATCTTTCTAATGGATTGGCTCTTTCATCCCTCTTTCTCTCTAGTAACATTTTTTGTTTTAAGTCTATTTTTTCTGATATTAGTATAGCCACTCAAGTTTCTTGTGGTTGTTGTTTGCATAATAGATCTTCCATCCTTATACTTTCAATGTATTTGTATCTTTAAAGTACATCTCTTGTAGAGAGCATATAATTGGATACTCTGACAATCTCCACCTTTTTTTTTTTTTTAAAGATTTTATTTATTTGACAGAGAGAGACACATCGAGAGAGGGAAAACAAGCAGGGGGAGTGGGAGAGGGAGAAGCAGGCTCCTCGCCGAGCAGGGAGCCCAATGCGGGGCTCTATCCCAGGACTCCGGGATCATGACCTGAGCCGAAGGCAGATGCTTAACGACTGAGCCACCCAGGCACACCTGCCCTTTTTTTATTATATAGTTTAATCAATTCATGTTTAATAATATTGCTTACGTTGTTGATTTATGACTGCTTTTTCATTTTCTACGTGTCTCATGTCTTTTTTGTTTCCTTTATTACTCTTTGACTGCTTTCTTTTGCATTAAGTGGGTATTTTCTAGTGAAGGACTTAAATTTCTTTAATGACCTTTCACTGTAATTTTTTTTTTTTTAGTTTTTCTCCGTATGGGCTGCTCAATACATTTCAACTTCAAACTTATAGCAGCTTCAGACTTATACCAGCTTAATTCCAGTAAGATATAGAAATGTTATGCTATATAGTTCGATTGCCTTTTTCTCCATTTGATGGCATTGTTGTGATACATATTACATTTAATGTTACAAATCCAACAATACACGATGTTATAATTATGACTTTATCACATATAGTCATTTCCTTAGCTTGACATAGTTTTGCCTCCACTCACCTTCTACGTGCTGCTATTGACAGATACATTACAAATATACTACATTTCTAAACCTTATAGGCCCAAGAACACATTATACACATATTATTTTATACAACTGCTTTTTTAAAAAGATTTATTTATTTATTTTAGGAGAGAGAAAGAGAGCAAGAGCTAGCACAAGCAGGCATGGGGAGAGAGAGAATCTGAAGCAGACTCCATACTAAGCACAAGCCCAACACAAGGCTCCATCTCGTGACCCTGTGATTGTGACCTGAGCATAACCAAGAGTCACATGCCTAACCAACTGCATCACCCACACACCCCACACAACTGCTTTTTAAATCAGTTTTGAGTAAAAAGAAGAAAAAATATGTGGTAATATTCTCTTTGAAAATTACATAATTACCTTTACTGGTACTCTTTGTTCATATGGATTCAAATTACCATCTGGGATCACTTGCTTTCAGCTTAAAGAACTTCCTTTAGCATTCTTGCAAGGTGGGTCTGCTAGTAATAAACTCTCTCAATTCCTGTTTACCTGGGAAAATCTTCATTTCACTATCATTTTAAAAAGATAGCTTTGCTGGATATATAGGATTTTTGGTTGACTATATTTGTCTTTGAGCACTTCATATATATTATTACACTGCCTCTGGCCTCCACTGTTTCTGCTGAGAAGTCAGCTATTATTCTTATCTGGGCTCCCTTGTAAGTCAATTCCTTGAAGAGATTAGGAGCATTTTATGACCTGCTTCTCCCCCTAAGCACCCTACCAAATCTCTGAACCAGACCCCCAAGCTGGGGGTGCAGACAACAGCACACTTCTTTCAGAGCTATCCCCTATAGCAGTGGAATATTTTGTTGAGGGTAGGCGGCAGCCTAAGGTTTTCTCAGCTTGTCTCTTCTGACATGGAATCACCACCCTAGAAAACAGAAAAGATGATGTATTCTCCAGTACTCCCAGCAGCTCTGCACCCAGGTAGAGCCTCTGTTCCACAAGTGGGGATTGGGCAGAAGGTAGTTCTCTGCCTCTCCACCACATATACCCAGAACTTAGCTTCAGCAGCTAGGCAGCTAGGGGTAGGATGAGAAATCCTAATGTCCTGCTCCTCCCAAGAAAACCTTCCCTCCAACTGGAAGCTATTCATTTACTGTACACCCTTCGACCATTTCCAGAAGCTTTTAATAGTTGTTTTTCAAGTTTTCCCCAATTTTCTAGGGAGTGGGTCTGTAGAGCTCCTCATGCGGTCAGGCTGGAATTCACAAATCAGTTATTTTTTTTTAATTTATTTTTATTTTTTTTAAAGATTTTCTTTATTTATTTGAGAGACAGAGATAGAGAGAGAACATGACAGGGGAGAGGGCCAGAGGGAGAGGCAGACTCCCCACTGAGCAGGGAGCCCGATGCAAGACCCAATCCCGGGACTCCGGGATCATGACCTGAGCTGAAGGCAGACGCTTAACCAACTGAGCCACCCAGGTGCCCCACAAAAGAGTTATTTTTAAGAATGACTGTACTGCAAGCCTGGATTGAGAATCATTTGATTTATAATGTGCTATGTTGCAACATCTATTTTACCTGAATGTCTTTTTTTTTTTTTAAAGATTTTATTTATTTGACAGAGAGATAGAGAGAACAGGTAGGCAGAGAGGCAGGCAGAGGGAGATGGAGAGGCAGGCTCCCCGCCGAGCAGGGAGCCCAATGCGGGGCTCGATCCCGGGGACCCTGGGATCATGACCTGAGCCGAAGGCAGCCACTTAACCGACTGAGCCAGCCAGGCGCCCCTACCTGAATGTCTCAACAAACATACAAGGCAAGAAATTACTATTCTCATCCTTCACAGTTAAGGATTCAAGATGCTAAAAGAGGTTAAGTGACTTGGCCAGGGTTACACACTTAATACAAGATAAAGCAAGGATATGAACCTAGGTTCCTGATTATAAACCTGATGTTCTACTATTATGTACTGAACTGTGCTCCCCCCTACCAACTATGTATTAAAGCCCTAACTTCCATAACGACTACATTTGGATATAGGGCCTTTAAGGAGGTAATTAAGGTTAAATGGGTTCATAAGAGTGGGGTTCTAATCCAGTAGAACTAGTGTCCTTACAAGAAGAGGAAGAGACACCTGAGATCTGTTCCCCCAACCCCACCCCCTATGTACACACACAAAAAGGCCATGTGAGGAAACAGCAAGAAGGTAGTCATCCACACGTCAGGATGATAGGCCCCACAGGAAACCAACCCTGTTGGCACCTTGATCTTGGACTTCTAGCCTCCAGAACTGGGATAAAATGGATTTCTGTTGTTTAAGCCGCCCAATCTGTGGTATTTTTTATGGCTGCCCAAACAGACTAATATATACAATACACCTGGTGGTAATTTGTCAGATTGAGCTTTATCGGACTGAAAGGCAGAGGCAATGCAGATGAGAATTTGCAAATAATTATGAAGGAATTATTTAACGGTGCTGAGAAATGATCTAGAGAAAAAAGCTGGATTCCTGAAGCAAGCAGCATTTTGGCTCTGAAATATCACAATATAGCATAATAATAGCAGTGTTACAATGATGACCCAAGTTCAAGAATCAGAAGTTTTAGGTCAAAGAAAGGAGAAAGCCTACGGTAACAGGGCAGACTTGATAAATCTTTACCATACCAAAAACCAATTGGACTTCAGTAATTGGAAGCCTGTACTCAACATGGAGGGGAAGGGCACACAATTAAGGGAAGACAATGTTAGAAATACACATATACAGAGAGAAAAAGTGATAAAACAAATGGAGTAAAAGGTAAAATGAACAACTGAGGAGTGGGGTTGAAGGGTAAAAAGAGGACCTTTGTACACTTCTTAAAATTCCTATAAGCTTGAAATTATAGCAAAAACTTTTTTTAAAATATAAAAAAATCTAAAAGGAAAGAAAGGCTCATACAAAACTACTATTAACTTGCTTCCTTTTATTAAAGTGACATAAAAAGCAAGTCCAGAGAAGAGGGCTGGCCTTGAAATCCTGTTTTCAAATTTACTTCTTAGCACAGTGATGTAGAAAAAATACTAAACTTCTGTGAGCCTTGGTTTCCTCACTTGCACAATGGGGATATTACCTTCTAAGGTAAAGAGAAGATGAAAGCGTACTCCCACTGTCTAGCCCTTATATAGCTCACACCTGATATTTGTGTAATGAAGAAATGGCTATAAATAGCTCTAAAGGTTCAAAAAAAGATCTCTTCTGACTAAAGTGATGAGGTATAGCTCCATAGAGAAGATGGTGTTTCAGCTAGGTTGTGAAGAATAGAAACTATTTCAACAGTTGAAGTTAAAAGAGAAACACCCACAAAACAGAAGAGTACAAATTAAAGGACAGACGTTAGAAAGTACAACTGATGAAGATTAGCACTAAGTTGTATTCGATCACAGCAACTGCTCTTTAAAAGTACACAGACATGAGAAATGCCAGCACCTGTTTTCTCTTTCTTTTTTGGTTAAATTGTGGTATCTGAGAACTCACAAATTACTCCAACGCTCAAACTAGTAATTTCTATCATCCATATAGTGCATCTGTGCCTTTGAAATATTCTTCCCTTTTAAATTACAAAAATGGCTCACATTAAAAACAAACAATACAGAAGGGTATAAAAAGATAAATGAAAATGTACCCCTGCCTAAAGGTAACCATCAAGTTCTCCGCATACCCTTTCAAAAACTGGTTATACAAGTATACACATATCCTTCTGGTTTTTATTGTACACCGATGGGAAATTATAAACACAATTCTGCACTTTTGCTTTAACTCTGGACAACCTTCCATACAATGCCTATAGAGTTAAATTATTTTTAATATAGTAATTTTTTTTTAAGATTTTATTTATTTATTTGACAGAGACACAGCAAGAGAGGGAACACAAGCAGTGGGAGAGGGAGAAGCAGGCTTCCCGCTGAGCGGGGAGCCCGATGCAGGGCTCGATCCCAGGACCCTGGGATCATGACCTGAGCCAAAGGCAGATGCTTAATGACTGAGCCACCCAGGTGCCCTAATATAGTAATTTTTATACCATAAGGACCAGACCCTAAACATCACTGACAATTAAGCTTGTCTCCAATTTTCTATCACAAACAATGCTGTAACCAATATTCTCCTTCATGTATTTGCATATATTCTGCAATTATATCCAATAATGAATTCTAAACAGTGGAATGTAAAGATCTAAAGCACGTGCACTTAAAATTTTGATAGTTCAAAGAACCCCCTAAAATATTGCACCAATGTACACCAGTGAATATGAGTGCATCAGTTCCCACCACTATCACTGTTAACTCAAGACTGACTCAAACTTTTCCATATTTGACAATATCATATGTGAAAAAATGCTTCTCATGAAAACTATTTTCATAATACTAAGATGTTATATATGCTTTTTTTTCACTTTCACTCCTAAGTTTTTCAGAAGCTTCATGACATGATGACATCATCACTCTGACGCCTAATGGAATGTGTGTTGTGTATTTCTGTGTTTTAAAATTTTGTTTTAATTTCTAATACAGTAAATATTAACTGATACAAAACAGCAACATAAACAAAAGTTCTTTGGGGGTCCTCAATAAGTTAAGAGTATAAAGAAGTTCCCAGGCCAAAAAATTTAAGAACACTTAATCCAATCTTTTTTTTTTTAAAGATTTATTTATTTATTTGTCAGAGAGAGAGAGCACAAGCAGGAGGAGCAGCAGGCAGAGGGAGAGCAGGTTCCTCGCCAAGCAAGGAGCCCAATGCGGGACTCGATCCCAGGACCCTGGGATCATCACCTGAGATGAAAGCAGACACTTAACTGACTGAACCACCCAGGCGTTCCCAATCTTTTCTGTCTTAAGAAAAAAACAGTCACTGGATATTCAGATAACATTTTTTTTTTAAAGATTTTATTTATTTATTTGAGAGAGAGAGAGAGAGAGAGAAACAGCATGAGAGGGGATAGGGTCAGAGGGAGAAGCAGGCTCCTTACTGAGCCGGGAGCCTGATGTGGGACTCAATCCCAGGACTCTGGGATCATGACCTGAGCCGAAGGCAGTCGCTTAACCGACTGAGCCACCCAGGCGCCCTTCAGATAACATTCTAATCATAGATTAAGGAACTCAACATCTTTAAAATACTGTCTTTTGGTCAAGAATTAAATATGTATTTACATTGATCTTTTTTGTTGCAATGATAAATGTGAAATTCCCTTCCATTATATTCTAATTGGCTCCTGTCTATATATGAAAAAATTACTCATTACTATACATATATTAACTTTTTAAGACAGCCAATGAATTAAATCAGCTACTGAATTCTGTTTCTGATACTTTCAGTTGACACTCTCGATACTTAACATCGCT